AAAAATTCAAAACGTATAGGTGCACCAGTAATTTTGCCCCACCCTGTAAGTAACGTCGAAGTACGGGCTCTTTTCTAACGAAAATATTAAACTGGAGAAATTTAAAGTACTCGCTCTTGTGTACTCAGAGCCCACTTACATTCAGGACTGACTGTTTTCTAGTTGAATAGGAGAAATGAACGTCCTTCAAAACAATGTGACCTGCTGCAACTTCCTTCCTGAGGCCTTCCTTTTCACAGCCGGTAGACGGCACCTGAATGCACAGCATATTCAGCATAAAGGCCCTCAATAACATTGCCCTCAGATTCGCACCCTATCAATGGTTTCGTAGATGGCAGCAGCTGCCACCCTCGCTTTCAACAAGGCCATCATATGTGGTCCAAGCATTCCAAGGTAGTAGGCGGTAAGCGAAATTGTGCCCACACAAAGAAGCACATCACCACGATCAGCAACCAAACCGTTGAAAAATCCATAACACCCAAACCTGAAGACCTGCGTTTAACAAAGAGCATTGAGGAATATGGATTTTATGTGATAATTTTGAAAATGGACTGAATAATTCAGCAGCAACTAGAGAACAAATTACCAGAGGGCAACTCCAATGACAACGTATATTTGGAAGAACGAAAGTCCCTCGAAAAATCCCATCCAGAAATGACCGCGAATAGAATACGGCAGTGCTCGACCGAGTGCTGCCCGGTATTTCTGGAATGGGAAAACTGCTTTATTGATCGTTTTCTGAAAACACTTTCATTCGGGTAAACTTAGGATATTTTCTTTTCAAATCAAGTTATAACTGCAGGCTTAGCCTAGTAATCGTGTAAGAAACAAATCGCACTTATCCTTCCTAATATGTCTACTGTCTTCGCGTGTTCTTTTTGCGGAAATTTCGAAATTTTACAGAGAAAACTTCTTAGGCCATCCCATTGGTGTCATTCTTTTCAAACGGAATATTTTCTGCTAAAATCCCAAGGTTTTACATTATGTAATAGACCGCTTCGAAAGAGACCAGAAGAGGTCGGGACTGAGTAGAGGCTACATAAATTATTGCTCGACCATGGCTTGTGTTGTGCGAGAGTAGTGCCGAGAGTGAACGTACGCGCGGAGAGCACAGACGGCTCGCGCATGGCGAGTGTGAATGTCCGCGCGAGAGAACGTCTCTGATCAGGCAGAAAATCCTCGACGTGCCGTTGAGGAATCCTCGAAGCAATATTCACCCTAGTTTTCGCTTTGGCTAACTTCACCGACTGCACCTCCCAATTCGCAGGCATGAAACTCAACGAGATTGCAAAGAACGTTTCGAGCGCTTAGTGACTTCATGTGAAAACATGGGACTTTAGCAGAAATTCCGTTTGAATAAAAGTGACAGTACTTATGGGGCAACCTAATACTTCACATGAGTTTAAAGGAATCTTCCACGGACCATGGACCAGTGGGCGGGACCGGAAGTGGTTTTGCGACGAAATGCATGGTAGGTACGGATCCACGTTCATGGGAAGGTTTGAAGTGAATCCTGTTCACGTTCGTGCGTTCGACACGTGGATCCGTACCTACCATGCATTTCGTCACAAAAACTTCCGGTCCCACCCACTGGTCCATGGGAAGATTCCTTTAACCGAGTTTCTCTGAACATGAAATTTAACCGAATTTCTTTAGCTACAAGGCTGTTCCTTTGAGGAAGGTAGGTGGGATGTTTCAACCACGCACGACTCACAAAAAGGCCATGTTTCCCTTCCTACCCCTTCTCGTTTCAAGGGTTGCAGAAACTGGGAGAGTTCTCATACATTGAGAAAACGGTAGCTTTTCCGTTTCTGTAATAGTACTGGCATGTACTACCTGCATCATGAACGGGAATCTGGGAGACATGAAAAGGTTAATGACAGGGATGCTACTCTAAAATTGAAACTCTGGTTTGAAGCTGCTTCAGCTATATAGCAAAGAGTAGCTGAAATGAAACAGGCGTTTTGTTCACGATCGGAAACGATCCCTCACATGATTGACTGTGCATCTGTGCTATCTAGGTGGGAACTCGGTTTTAGATATGATAAGACCTCTCGACTTACCTTCACCATGTGCTCCTGTCCGTTACACGACTGCACGGTTTTCACGTTCATAACGGATTCTTCTGCTATGGAAGCGGCTTCTGTTTGTAATGTCATCGCTTTGCCTAGGCTGACCGAGTTCACCTGAATTTGTAACAATTATTAAGAAGAAAGAACTAGCAAAAAATGAGGCCTCATTTATGCGACACTAATCAAAACCTGCTTTTTTAATGAAGGGTGAAAAATTAGCTCTCGTCGATAAAAATCTTTCATGTATCCCGACGTATGCACACTTTAACCCATCTCTGCGAACATGGAATCAATGGGTGACCTATCTACGTGGGCGGCGGGACTGGGTAACATTTTACCTTCCCCGAACGAATTCAACACCAACTTACCATCCCTGGAAAAAGAAAGGCTTGAGTGATACTCAATTAGGAATTTGGTTCCCTGACCCTCTGCGTGGGAAAAAGACGTTGCTATATAGTCGACAAGACGAAGGGTAATCCTGTTGAGGGGATTCATCATGTTACTCTTGCCATTCCGTATTAAGCCCATGGCTCATCGTAGAGTAAGTGTCAAGAAGCAACCTCCGTTCTCTAGCAATGTTATAAGGCAGTTAATAGTGGTATAGGATAATAGTAACCATATATAGATAACATACTCTTCCTAACATGGCCATAGTCACTGTGGCAATCGGTCCCATGGTGAGTGAGATCACGGTTATCTGCCAGTTGATGGCACAACAGGCGATGATCGATGAGAAGAACATGGAGAATCCTCGGAATAAGGAGGCCCATCTTGTCGCCCATGCCATCCTGTATTCGGGCGATGTTACTGAAGTATACTGTTACCGTCGTGAGGAAATAAACCGAAGCAGTACTTTTTTCCACGATTTTTTCACAAGTCACATCCACTGCCGTAAAAATCAGCATACCCACGCTCCTCATTCCTCATTGGAACAAGTTACGTGCTGCATCTGGCTTTTTGGACAAATGTGCCCCGATAGAAAAAACTTAGGTTGTCCCATGAGTTGTGTCGGTTTTTTCAATGAAGAACACCTTCAGTGAAATTTCAAAATATCATACTAACTCGTATAAAAATTAAATTTCGGAAGAAATTTGCCTGCTCTATGAAATGTTATGCTTCGCTTTCACATTCATTACCAACATTTTGAATTTCAAGCCTGAAAACGGGAGGTCCAGCTGGTGTATTATATTATTAAATACCAGTTTTGCTCCGCCCGCTATCGCGCGCATCACACGGCAGGCTTTAGCGAAACTGGAGGACCCATGGAATATCAGCATGAGGTACTCCATTAACCACCTCACTATTGAATGTGTTAGA